ATTTTAAAAGATGATTCTGCAACTTTTTCTTTATAACTACATAAGAAAATTAGGCCTCTGGCAGGCAGCAGTGGTGCACACCTTTAATCCCAGTACTCCAGAGGCAGAGGCAGGTGGATCTCTGTGAGTTACATGCCTTTAATCCCAACAGTCAGGAGATAGAGGATCTTTCAGTTCAAGGTCATCCTGGTCTATACATTGAAATCCAGAGCCGGAAGTTGATGGCACATGCCTTTAGTTCCAGCACTCGGGAGGCAGAAGCAGGCGGATCTCTGTGAGTTCGAGGCCAGCCTGGTCTCCAGAGTGAGTGCCAGGATAGGCTCCAAAGCTACACAGAGAAAGCCTGTCTCAAGAAAATAAAATAAAATAAAATAAGGGTTACAGAGATGACTCAGAGGTTAAGAACACTGGCTACTCTTCCAGAGGGCCTGAGTTCAATTCCCAGCAATCACAAAGTGACTCACAACCATCTGTAAGGAGATCTGGTGCCTTCTTCTGGCCTGCAGGGATACATGCAGGCAGAACACTATATACAAACTAAATTTTTTATTAAGGAATAAAGAAAACTAGATAAAATTTAGGCTTTTTTTTTAAACCAAAACATCAATATAGGAACTCCTAGAGACTGTAAATTAACGCATTAATACTATATCCTTAAAGGCAGTGTTGTGCAACATGAGAAAAAACTTAAAATGACTTCTCACTATTAACCCCTCTACATCTAACTAGCTATGTTACTTAAAGAAATATACAAATACATGCAAAGTATTTTTGAATAAATTAGCTTTGTGAGAAAAATTATTTCCAAGCAGTCATAAATTGGGAAGTAGCTAAGTCTTTAAAATAAAATAATATTTTACCAACACAAATACTAGCAAGATGGTTCAATGAGTAAAGGTGTTTACTGCCAACTCAATGACCTGAGTATAATCTCCAGGATCCTACAGGCAGAAGAACTTGTTCCTTCAAGTCCTCCTCTGACCCCCACAGTTACCAATGCAACTGTTATAGTTCTTAAAATAAGATTTCAGTAGTTAATTCTCAAAATCTACCAGAAAGCCATATAAGTTATTCAGGAGAGTCTTCAAGTATATTATAGCTAATGCTATGGAAGAAGATAACCACAGTCCAGACCTGGTGGCACAAGCCTGAAAATATATGCTGAAGCAGGAGGAATTCAACTTCAAAGCCAGCCTAGTCAACTTAATGACACTCTCTGACAAAAGAAAAACTAAGAGACTGGAGGTGGGGCTCAGTGGTAGAGCACTTGCCTAGGATCCCCTTTCCCTGGTACCAAGGAGACGACGAAGACTGCCCATACTAACCCCTAGTGTTCCTTCTACAATTAAAGTGTGTCATCTGAGCACTGAAAAATTCATCAAAAACATGAACTCAAAGCAGGTCACAGAAGGCCAAACATTATTCTACATATAACGTGATGGTTTAAACACATGCCAAGGTATAATAATAATAAAAATAATTTAAATCCTATAAAAGTGTATTTTAACCAGCAACAACAGTGGCTGACATGTTCTTATTGTATACCCTATGTACACACTGAATCCAGTCAAATGACTGGAAGCATATACAATTTCACCACCTGTAATTCAGGGTTTGACAAACTGACTTATAGAAGAGGCAAGTGGCAGAGCCGAGGCACAAGATAGATTATCTGCAGTTAAAACTTGAATTCTCCCTTCTAGCCAGGTGTGGCATACACCTGTAATACCATCCCTGGGAAGACAGAGACAGATGGATTTCCAATTCAAACCAGCCTTCACTACACAAAAGCAAGTCTGAGACCAGCCCAGATACCAGTAGGAACATAAGACTATGTTTCAAAATAAATACATAGATAGGTAGATCAATAAATAACTTGCTGTCTGTCTATACTTTTTTAAAAAGATGTATTTGTTATCTATACATCGTTCCTCCAGCATGTATCCCTGCAGGCCAGAAGAGGGCACCAGATCTCATTATGGATGCTTATGAGCCACCATGTGGGTGCTAGGAATTGAACTCAGGACCTCTGGAAGAGCAGCCAATGCTCTTAACCTCTGAGCCATCTCTCCAGCCCCCTATCTATACTAACTTTATCCATCTAGAATGGAAGGCTTTGAAACAACTAAAGCTGTAATTTTCACACCATTTCAGCATCTAAGTAAAGCAGAAAACCCAGAACCTTCCATTTAAGTTCATAACAAAAATCTCCTGAAATGCCAAACCAATCATTTTTAGTATTTTGGTGTAGGTTTCATCCTTCTGCTTCCTAAACTGTGCTGAGAAAACATGGCCAGGCAGCATGGAACTGTGCTAATGCTTAACTTCCAAGGGTCTTAGTTTGGCAAATGATTTGAGACTCTAGATCCCAGAAAACATTTCCTTTATTAGCAACTGGCTTTGAGAATACCATTCTAGGATGCTAAATATAACGAAATCCTCCTGACCTTTATAAACACATTCTCCAGATTATTTTGATAGTGGTGATTGTCTATTAACAAGACAGTTTTGCAAACACAGTTTAGCAACTGTAACATTTTGAGGAATCTTTCAAAATTGTTCTTTAAAGAATTGACCTGAAAACTGTTCTTTGGATTCTTGTACTATGAAGTAACAGAGTTCAAATTCCACAATTCATTTCCCTTAAAAGGCACAGAAACATAAATAAAAACAAACCTTTTTTTTTTTAATTAAGATTTATTTTTTCTTTTAAACCAGGCAGTGGTGGTGCATGCCTTTAATCCCAGCACTCGGAAGGCAGAGACAGGAGGATCTCTGTGAGTTTGAGGTCAGCCTGGTCTACAAAGTGAGTTCCAGGACATCCTGTTACACAGAGAAACGATGTCTCAAAACACACACACACACACACACACACACACACACTACTACATATATTCATAAAAAATAATGCATCTCGCTGTTTCCTAAATGTATTTCCCATGCATAACTGCTATATTTTAGGGAGCATACTCCTAGCAGACCTCACAGCTACAAGCCTCTTTCATTGCACATGTGGTTTAAATGCACTTGTAATTAATAAGACTGGACAGCTCCTCAGATCTGCTCTATATAAAATATGGATGTGAATGGAAGAATCAACTGACACTTTATGTTTGGGGAATGGAGCCAAAAAGCTGGGTGTGGAGTGTGAAAAGTGCTTCACTACTAACATTACAGTTGTTTTGTCTTATCTAGTTAAGTATAGCTAACTTTCAGTGTGTGACTCTATGTGTGTGTGTGTGTGTGTGTGTGTGTGTGTGTGTGTGTGTGTAGCTGTAGTCCACCAACTATCAGGCTTTAAAAAAAATAGAAAAAGAAAAGAAAAAACAAGGTTTCTCTATGTAGCCCCGGCTGTCCTGGAACTTGCTCAGATCAACCTGCCCCTGCCTTTCCTGGAACACTGGGACCAACTCACGCACCACCACACTCACCCCTCTAGGCATTCTTTCTTCTCCCACCTCCTTGGTCCAGAACCCCCACTAACTTTAAGTATGCAGTCACCCTTAACTAGGCAGGGTCACCCACAGTGTAGCCTTCAAACTCACCAACAAGTATCCAGGGTGAATACAGCATTCTGCAGGGCCATACCCACGGGGAAGATTAGAGATTTGTACTGTCTTTGCAAGATACTCCTAAATCTGGACCTCAGCCCTAACCTTTCTCCAAAGGGATAGAGTTCTCTTCTGATGACCCACTGTCTACAGGAGAAACAAAGTTATTTAAGCCCTCTATCTTTCATCTAAAACATTCTTCCTAGTAAAATTACTGTTGGCATGCTGTCACCAAAGCTTATGCTTATTTCCTTCCTGATGTTCCCGCTAACCAATTTAAACACAGTCAAAAGGTACAAGCTGGCTGTGCGGCTCATGCCTTTAACTCTAGCACAGGGTAGGCAGAGATGGATGACGTCCAAACCAGCTAGCAGGGCTTCATAGTGAGATTCTGTCTAAAACCAAACAAAAGTTTAGAGGATAAAAGTGGGGGTAAAGTGGGTGATGGTGGCCCACACCTTTCATCTCTGCATTCGGGAGGCATAGGCAGACAGATCTCTGGGTTCGAGGCCAGCCTGATCTACGGAGCGAGTTCCAGGGCACCAGGGGTACACACAGAAACACTGTCTCGAACAAACAAAAGGATAGTAAACTCTGTCAACTATTAATCAGAGAAAGGAGGCAGATGCTCCAATACCGAAGACAAGCTAGAAACCATCAGAAGAACCCTTATTTCCGTATCAGCTTGTGGGCCTAAAAAAGCATCAGCAGGTCATCAGCTGGCAATCCCTGAGTTAACCAGTCCCCACCACTCTGGTCCAGGATCCCTCAGTCTGTTCGCACATCACTGAACCTGACAACTGCTAAGTCGAGAAGCGCAAATGCTGTCATGCAACGTCCACAGTAACACAACCACTCTCCACCTTTCTCAACTTCTCCACACAAACCTTGCACTTTCAATCAAAGGAGCGCCCCCACATTGGTTGTGTCCCTGCCAAAATGGCCTCCTCCTTACCTTCCTCCTTTACCCCATCAAAGCTCACACTTGGCGCAGTAAACAAACCCACCATTGGGAGCACACACCTGCTCATTAACCGGACCGCACGTGGCGTGAATCAAGACGCCTCCCTGATAAAAACCCAACATATTGAATGTTTTAATCAAGTTCAAAAGATGATTTTAATCTCCCAGGGGACAAATGCTATGGCCTGAGTCCTCCCCGCTCCCCATTTAACAGCAGCATTTTTAAAGCGAGAGGTGAGGCTACATCGCACTCACCCGCTCTGTGGGGTGTCCAGTCTCCACACCAGGAAGGCCTAGGGAAGGCGTGGACCCCCCAGAGCTCACGCGCTACTCCCCGCGCCCGAGTAGCGCCCGCAGGCGGCTGTCCCCACGAGCGGAGAACGCTCGCCGACCCCCTGCGCAGCTCCGGCCTGGTGCCGAGGGCCCCGAAAAAAGGTCAGAGGGCGAGGCTGCCGGCGCGCCCCCCGCACTTAACGACGCCACTACCTTGTCCTCCGGCGGTGCGTCCTCGCGGAAAGACCTCTGCCGTAGCTCGGTCATGCTGAGGACCCCGGCACGATGTCACCCAGGGCGAGCAGCACGGTGGCCGTGGAGATGGGCTCAGCGCGCACGGCCAGCTGTGAGCCAGCGCGCACGCGCACCGCCGCCATCTCGGCCCAGAAGCCTAGACGCCAGGGGGCAGGGCAGCGGGACGGGGGTGGGGAGGATAGGCGGAGTTAGACGCGGTCATTGGACAACAACGGGAGGAGGCGGGAGAAGGGAGCACAACGAACCAATGGGCGCTTGCGTCCTACCGCGTGTGCCCGCGCAGGAGATAACCCGTTACTGGGGGACCACAGCGCCTCCCGGCTGTAAATATTGGCCAGTAATTGACGTTCTCAGCTTAGAGATCAAGTGGAGAGACCAGGCGGACCTCTGAACAGCGGGCATCATAGCAGAGGTGAAACCCGAACTTCAAGCACACGTTGTCTTGCCAAGCTGTGGTTGTTAGTAAATTAGGAGCACTGATTCTGTCTAGGCACGGAGCTCAGAAATCGCTTTGGTTGGTTTGTCTCGTTCAAATCACAGGCCTTTTTAATTCCCATGACAAGTGAGAAGACAGAGACAGGTGGATCTGATCGATGTAGCCTGTTCCAGAGCTACCCAATGAGACCTTGCACACACACACGCCAAAAAAATGGAAATGGATATAATTTTTGCAAGTAAGATCATCCAAAGTATTATAAATTTCTTGTCTTAGTGTTTGTTGCTGAAGATAGAATTCAGGAGTATGCTATTCTCGCACTTGATTTTTTGGAAGCTCTTTTAGCTGACAGGAGCGTTTTCTGTGGCTCCCCTAGATCCCTAATATAGCCTATGCGGTTGATAAATGGATTTTAAACTTTTAAAGGGAAAGTATTTAGCTAGCAACTACAAATTAACTAGTAAGAATTAGAACCCAGATGTTGGTTACCAGAATCATGCTGTAGCCAATGTTCACATTGGCAGCCTGAACCCAGTAACACCGGTATTACTCCAGCATTGCCCTGGTGCAAACCAGGGGCTCCCTGTCTTAAGCTATATGTTAATGTAACAGTAAGAGGTCTTCGCCACAGGGAAGGTTCAGTTTCTTAGCGATTTTGTTCTGAGCTGTGAGTTTTCAGAAAATATCTGAAAAGGGCATTAAATAGTACTGGTCTCTGTGAGTATATTCTGAAGTTCTTGTTAAGATAATTCAAAGTGACAGTAAAATATTTAGACAAACTTCAGAACCTCTGAACTCTGAATTTTGTTTCCTGTTTAACAGCTTTGCACAAATACTTGGGTGCTCTGGTTGCTTGGCTGGTGGCTGTTGTTTTTGTTGGGTTTGGGTTTTGTTTTGCTTTGCTAGAAGCAAGTATCACTGCCTTCCAACAACAAAAGCTCCTCTGCCTTGTCTCTAAAAATAAAGGTGCCTATGATAATTTTAAAATTCTTGTAAATGCTTTGAAGTCTGTGGGAACACCAGTTTGACCAACACCATTTATCAAAGTATCTAAAAAACTTAGAAGAGCACCAGCTCATAGTGTCCATATCTTTAGGACAAGTAAAGGTATAGCTATCCAGATCCACACCTTTTGGGTACCAATCATGTAGTTGAAGAGTGTTGCACTGGTTTGTACAAGCCTACCTCTTCCATTTCAAGCCCAGTCTAATATAAGAAGGCTAGAGGGCTAGGGATGTAGCTCAGTTAGTTGGTAGAGTGCTTGCCTAGCATCCATAAAGCCTGGGTTTAATCCCCAGCACCAAACAAACTGGGTATGGTGTGAGGACACACATCTGTAATACCAGTATGAGAAAGGGAGAGACAGGATAACCAAAAGTTTGAAGTCAGCTTCATCTATAGAGTGAGTTCAAGTCCAGCCTAGAATACATGAGACCCTGTCAGAAACCAAAACACAGGACTAGAGAGATGGCTCGGTGGTTAGGAGCTCTGGCTGCTCTTGCAGAAGCTTGGTTCTCAGCACTCGAATCGTGGCTCACAATTGCCTATCATTCTGGTTCTAGCTCCCTCTTCTGGACTACAGAGGATTAGAGAGATGGCTCAGTGGTTAGGAGAACTGGCTGCTCCTCTAGAGGAACCAGGTTCAATTCTCAGCACCCACATGGCCAGCTTACAATGTCTTTGACTCCAGTCCTAGGGGATACAATATCCTCTTCTGGCCTCCTAGGGCACCAGTTGCACACATAGTACACAGACATACATGGAGACAAAACACCCATACACACCAAATAAAACAAACCAAGACCTGGAAACCAATTAACAGAAGTCAGAGTTATGGAGTGATGAAACATGTATTCAACTAGACATTGCCTTAAAATCTGACCTGAACAAAGTTCTCAATTATCATCATCAAACCTATCTGGGTTAATTAAACTCACACCAAATAGTGAATTAAAAAAGTTAATTGAACCCACACCTAAAATCAGTGTTGTGGGGAGCAAGAATACATTTGTCAGACATTTCTAGAAGTCATGTTAATAGTACTTTGTGTCAATTTTAATGCCTCTCCAATTGCAGAAAAAAATCAAAAGTAAAAAGTCTTCCTCAGCCAGGCAATGGTGATGCACACCTTCAATCCCAGCACTTGGGAGTCAGAGGCAGGCAGATCTCTGTGAATCCAAGGCCAGCCTGGCTACACACTAAGTTCCAAGACAGCCCAGGATACATAGAAAAACAAAAAAACAAAACAAAACAAAACAAAAAAAAACAGTCTTCCTTTACCTCCAGCCAAATCATTTAGTTCCTTTACATTCTCTTGTGCCCCCTCAGTTCCAGGGTTTTGTTTTTGTTTTTTGTTTTTGTTTTTTTTTCTGCTCATTATATTTAGTCTTTCCTCTGTGTCTTAGTTGGGGTTTCTATTGCTGTAAAGAGACCCCATGACCACAAGAACTCTTATAAATGAAATCATTTCATTGGGGCTGGCTTACAGTTTCAGATGTTTAGTCCATTATCACAATGGTGGGACATGGCATAAATGATGCTGGAGGAGGAGCTGAGAGGTCTACATCGTGATCCACAGGCAACAGGAAGTGAACTGTCTCTACACTGAGCATAGTTTGAGCATAGGAAACCTCAGAGCCCACCCCCTACAGTGACACACTTCCTCCAACAAGACCATACCTACTCCAACAAGGACATACCTCCTAATAGTGCCACTCCATATCAGCTTATGCAGGCCAATTTCATTGAAACTACTACACTCGGAAATAATTTCTTCCAGAACTCAGACATTTTGTAAATCCTTTTTTTAAAGTTTTTATTTATTTATTACTTATACACTGTTCTGCCTGCATTTTTGCTTGCATACCAGAAGAGGGCACCAGATCTCATCGCAGATGGTTGTGAGCCACCATGTGGTTGCTGAGAATTGAACTTGGGACTCTGGAAGAGCAGTCAGTACTCTTAACCTTTGAGCCATCTCTCCAGCCCCATAATTTTTTTATATAGATTTACCTTGTTTCATGTGTATGTGCCTGATAACTGCAGAGGTCAAAACCAGAAAAAGACATTAGGTCCCCTGGAACTGGCGGTACAGATGGTTATGAGCCATCATATGGGTGCTGGGAAATCAAACCTGGGCCCTCTACAAGAGCAGCAAGTGCTCTTTTTTTCCCCTTTCTTTCTTTCTTTCTTTCTTTCTTTCTTTCTTTCTTTCTTTCTCTCTTTCTTTCTGTCTTTTTTTAGTAAAGCCCCCTTTCTCTTATTGAAGGAAAAGTCCAGAACTGCAAACAAGCTCTCAGGGGCAAAGCTGTGCTACCTTGCTGGAGGACCTGTGTCATACCCCAGTACCAAAAAAATAAGATGAAAACTTCTTTACACTAATTAAATTCAGTAGAATTTATTTAACACAATGTCACTCTAGAATTGACTGGCTTCCAGAACCCAACCAAGCAGGTTCTAAGAATTTGGGCTCACAATGCAATCAAACAGCATTTTCAGAAAATCATAGTTGTGAATTAGAAAACAATTTAGTTGGATACAACTTAGTCAATCAACTAGCAATTAGCTGTAGCAGCAATTCAGTGTAGCTGAACTAGCAAATTGTTCATAGCTTTATTAGTTCATTGGATACTGGACATTTGATAACCAACCAAAGCTGCTTCCTCCATTACACTTTGTATTGGTTTGGTCTCTTAGACTCAGTTGAGATGCCTAGTCCAAATATAAGGCTCCAACAGAATATTCTTAAGCCAGGTGTAATGGTTCATGCCTCTAATCCTAGCACTCCGGAGGCTGAAACTGGAGAATTAGTGCAAGTAAGTTCCAAGCCAGCCTAGGCTACAGAGTTAAGAACCTGACTCAAATAACAAAAACTAGCAGGAAAAAAAAAAGTTTGAGTTATAGTATGAACCACTAAAACCGAAAGTGTACTCACCAATAGAGTATTTTTAGGAATATTACTTTTGGTCTTTGGTTGGTTGTTTTTGTTGTTTTGTTTTTTGAGACAGATTTTCTCTGTCTGCCTCTGCCTTCCAGGTACTAGGATTAAAGGCGTGAACCACTATCAACCTGCAAGAATATTAGTTTTTTCTTTTTGTTGTTGTTGGTTTTGTTGTTTTGTTTTGTTTTTCCCGAGACGGGGTTTCTCCATGTAACAGCCCCAGTTGTCCTGGAACTAGCCTGTAGACCAGGTTTGTAGAGAGCCACAGCCCTAAGATGGCACCTGGCTGGATGCCAGGTAGTCCGAGCTCATCTGTAAACAAGCCTTATTTATAAGTGCTTGAGGCATCTGGCGCACTTCCTCCTTCTGTGGCCTATCCGGGATTGCCAGATGGCATGAGCTGATTGGGCACTGAGCATCTACTAAAGGGCTTGCGGGGCTGGGAGAAGGGAGAAGCTGATGTACAAGGTTTCTGAATAAACTGCTTGAAGAAGAGTCGTGGTCGTGTTTCTCTTGCTGGTCGAGATAGACGCGACACAGGTTGGCCTTGAACTCACAGATACCCACCTACCTCTGCCTTCCAGTTGCTGAGATTAAAGGTGTGCGTCACCACCACCACAGCCTGAGCATAGTTTTTTTTTTAATTGTTTATCATTTATTCAATGAAAAAGAGGGAAATTAAGCCACTTTCATTTTCTCCTAAACTCTCAAAACTCCCTTCCTTCATTTAGAAACAAAACAAGAAAACAACAACAACAAAAAAACACAACAAACTCCCCCCACACACACATTTGTACAAAAGCCACACAACCTGCTCCTAACAAAACTGGATGGAACCCAACTGACAGACATAAAAAGAGCTGTGTTGAACTCAGGTTCTATAGGTTACAAGCGCTGCAAAATTACCTCCACTTGCATCTTTCAAACTGGAAAATGATCACATTACAGACCTGAGGTTATAAAGGAACACAGTGTACACGAGTGTCCTGTTCTCCTTCTAGGACTCCAGGGGAAAGGCGAGCATGGGAGTGAGCTTCCTTAGGAAAAGAGAGAAAGGAGGGAAATAGTGGAAACCCTGGCCACTGTCTAAGGCACTGGGGTATTCCTGGGGCCAAATGAGTTATGTAACCTCCCAAGGAACAAGCTTACTTGCATTTCTACTCCACAAGTCTAGAGCACACACAAGAAAAGAGTAAGCTTTCCTTAGCTCCAGTACACCAGGACTCAGTGACCAAGGCCACACGGTAGAGGCAAACCTGAGGGTCTCAAGAGCAAATCTCAATTTTTTAAAAAGTTTATTTACTTATTATGTATGTATATAGTATCATGCCTGCATGTGTCCCTGCAGGACAGAAGAGGGCACCAGATTCCATAACGGATGGTTGTGAGCCACCATGTGGTTGCTGGGAATTGAACTCAGGACCTCTGGAAGAGCAGCCAGTGCTCTTAACCTCTGAGCCATCTCTCCAACCTATAGTGAAGGGACCAGCTCTCCATTTTGGCAGCCATAACAGCCTAGTATGTGCTTGCTTGACCTTGCCTTGGTCGCTAGGAGGTCAGATGCCTGCCTTGTGGCAAGGAACCAATCAGAAGTTAGCTGGTAGTGCTATGCTTTACGTCTCTGGGTGTGCTTTACAGACAAGTGCACAGTAATGACATGCAGCGCATAGCAACCACCCTGGGAGGGCCTATGGGCCATAACAACCAGTTGACCAATCAACACAGGGCAAACCCTCCAAGCCTGGAGGCACACCAATCCTGAGCCTGTGCGTACCCCTAGACATTCCCCTTACACTGCCCTATAAGATCTCTATCCTGTAGCTTCTCGGTGTCTTTCCTAGCCATCTGCCATGGTGGATCGATGAAAGGCCCAAGCTAACATGGGGTTAGCTTGTTAAACAACTACAATAAAACCTCTTGCTGTTTGCATCAAGTTTTTGCCTCCGCCTGATGATTGGGGGGCTTCAGTCCTGGGCTGAGATCCTGGGGGCCTGAGTCTCTGGGGGTCTTTCAATAGATTTATATATTCTGACATTAAGGGTTCTAAGATGTTGTAGACACCTCCCCCAACACCCTCTCATATGTAAAGCTTTAAAATACACATAGAAAAAGATATCCATAAGACATTCTACCTTGCATTCTCAATAACGAAACTGCCAGCCGGGCAGTGGTGGCACAGGCCTTTAATCCCAGCACTTGGGAGGCAGAGATAGGCGGAGCTCTGTGAGTTCGAGGCCAGCCTGGTCTCCAGAGCGAGTGCCAGGATAGGCTCCAAAACTACACAGAGAAACTCTGTCTCGGAAAAAAAAAAAAAAAAAATGAAACTGCCACTAAAGTGAAGCTCTCACAGAAACACCCTCTTGCTACCAAGAGCATAGCTATTTGTAAGTACATATTTTCAACTAATTCATGGGCACTGCAGGTACCATACCAATGGAGTTCATGAGCCATTTAAAATTTCTTCAGGGGACTTAGGTGTAGCTCAGTGGCAGGGTTTGTGCTTAGCCTTCATGAGGTCCTGACATCAGTTCCCAGCATTTTTTTTTTAAGTCTTTAAAATGATTACTCTGTGACTAGGCATTAAAGAAAATATTACATAAGCCCCTAGCACTGAGACAGGGCAATAGAAAATGCACATTTATTGTAAGCAAAGCAGTATCCTGGGTGGGAAAGAACACATTCTACGGTTTGCAAAGGAAAGGAGATTTTAAGAAAATCTGGTCGGTGGTGGTGCACGACTTTATTCCTAGCACACGGTAGGCAGAGGCAGATAGATCTCTGTGAATTCAAGGCTAGCCTGGACTACAGAGTGAGTTCCAGGACAGTCAAGGCTGTTATGAAGAGAAACCTTGTCTCAAAAAAACAAAAAGAGAAAAACCCAAGAAAAGAAAATCTTCACAAATATATGTAGCTATATTATAGGTTTTCATTTTTGTTTGTGATGCTGAAGATCTAACCCAAAGTCCTAAACACACACACACACAGAGAGAGAGAGAGAGAGAGAGAGAGAGAGAATCACTAACCTATAAGCCCCACCCTATGTTATGTTTTGATATGTGAAGGAATAATTCAGGCTGCCAAGACTGCTTAGCAGGTCTGGCAATCCGAGTTCTAACGTGGAATCCACATGGTGGAGGAACAGAGCTGCCTCTTGCAAGTTTTCCTCTGACCTCCATACACGAGACGTGACTTACATGCACCACATATAAATAGATGTTAATAAAACAATTCATTATACATAAAGCAAAAAAGTGACAGTAGCAAAACTTAAAAATGAGCCAGGCAGTGGTAATGCACCCCTTTAACTCCAGCATTTAAGAGGCAGAGGCAGAGGCAGAGACAGACGGATCTCAGTAAGTTCGAGGCCAGACTGATCTACAGTTCCAGGACAGTCAGGACTGTTACACAGAGAAACCCTGTCTCAACCCCCCCCCCCAAACAAACAAACAAAAACCCCACAAAACCCCAAACAAACAATCAAACCTTACAAATAAATGACAGGGACTTACTTGGAAGAAAGTCCAGAGACAACAGAGCAGCATTCTCTTAAAATTATTTTTATTTTATGGAGTTGCCTGCAAGTATACCACAAGCATGCCTGGTGTTTTGAAGAGGGTGTGAGGTTCCCTAGAAGTGTAGTTACAGAGGTTTATAAACTGCCATGTTGGTGCTGGGAACTGAACTCTAATTCTTCGAAAGAGCAGCCGGTGCTCTTAACCACTGAGCCATCCCTCCAGCCTTAGACTGGTATCTGAGTTGTTTCATCAATGCCCTTTAACAAAGCAGAGTATAATACATTAAAAAGAGAGTAGCAGCAACTAAGTGAGAAACTCTGGATGTAAGAATGTAAGCAAACAGTGCAAACACCTTCATTCTCTCTTGTGACACTGTGAATCATGCTGGGGCCTGCACAGGTCAGGCCAGCACTCTCCTGTAAAGGCCAGCACTACAACCTTTCATGGGTTCTGGCTAGGGAACCTGAGGATTAACTAAGAAAAGACACAATAGGTCATTTTTGCAAGGAGAATGCCAGTTTATTTCAGAGGGGAGGAGACTTATATGCCAACAGCAGCCACAGTGGAAATTTACTCAAATCAAAGTCCATGCTCTCAAGCCCCCTGGCAGAGGGCAGAAAATTTACACTCTGGCATACAAACCTAGGCAGAAGGAGGAAATGGACAGCGAGCCCCAGGGGCCCCTTAGGTCACCCAGCCGGGTCCCAATGTTAGGAAGGCAGTGGTGGCATACACCTTTAGTCCCAGCACTCTGGAGGCAGAGGCAGGTGAATCTCTGTGAGTTTGAGACCAGCCTGGTCTATAAGAGCTAGTTCCAGGACAGCCTCCAAAGCCACAGAGAAACACTGTCTCGAAAAAAGCAAAACAAAACAAACAAACAAACAAACAAACAAAAAGAGGCATTTGAAATAGAAACTGTGGACTTTCACATTAATATTTTACACTTTCGGCATCAAACATATTTTATCCATCACCAAAACAAAACAAAGAGAAGAAACATTAGAAATTAAAAAAAAAATAGCTTTACATCCGTTTGTAGCTGGTGTCCACCACCTGCATTCAGTTTCCCCCACCCTTATAATCAACAGGAAAAAGAAATTTCAGTAGAACAAAACGCAGCAGGAACACATGCACCTGTAATGGCTGACATTTTCAGGAATGGGTATTGATTTTAACATGAAGTTATTGGTGCTTAGCGTCTAGGCCCTGGGTTCATCTCCAGCCTAGATGGGGTTCAGGCTAGGGAAAGAGGCGTAACAGGGAACTAATTAGGTGGGACCTATGGATTATGTATCTTAAGAGATAGTCATACTTTGGGGTTCTTTGCAGAAGTGTTCACGGCAAGAAGGAACTCTTTAATCTTTAGGGAGGAAAGTTCAGAGCGCCCAACACAGTGAAGTGATAGAAAACCGGGGTTAAGATGTGGTGGCTCCTTCCTTACTCGGTATTTTGCAGCGTTTTCGCCTACGCAGTAGCAAAAGCGCTCTGTAGTGTTTGAAACAGGTATACTTTTCGACTTCAGGCAGCCCTGCACCCCACCCCTCCCAACCCCCGACCCGCGCCTCCCGGCGCAGCTCGGCTTGCACGTGACTTTCATTTCCGTGGCGCGGAAACTTGCCGGGACAAGCCTCCTCCAAAAGGTGGGCCTCCGCGGATCCCATAATGCCCCACGCTTCCCACGCCCGTACGCCGCAGCCCCGCCTCTGTGTACGCGGCAGGGCGGGCCTTGCGCGGGACTCGGATACGATTGGTCCTGAGGGGAAGGTGGGTGGGGCAGCGCGGTGACGTCGCAACTCTCGCGCACGGAAAGAGCGCGCGCCTAGGAAGCGGCAGCATAAAAACGGTTGCGGGCGCCCAAGTTGGTAGTCGCTCCCT